TAGAAACATATAACGGGGTCATCGTAAAGATGATAGCCAAACAATGGCACTAAGATATATAACTACAGTTTAATTTGCTTATATAAAAAATTGTCCTCAAAATATCGAGATAAGCTTATTTCAGGTTACTCATAAAATTGATGATGATAAATGTCGTAAAGCAGAGAAAGGTGATTCAATTCATCAGCACTATACGCTGCATCTGGAAGATGGAACATTTGTTGATTCGAGTTTTAGCCGTAATGCGCCATTTGTTTTCAAACTTGGCAATAACGAGGTACTTATTGTATTCCATTATATGATGTACGTTTATTTTGAAAAGTAGAAAGAAATGAAATCAAAAGTCAAAATTCCCTCCGCATTCGCTCTCTGTGAGAGGTGGACGCAACTGAGAAGTAGCCCAAATGGTAGCAAGACCATCCCTTGACAAGCCATTCGATGACTCCTTCTTTCCAGGATTACGTACAAACAGACTGATGGCGGGTTTAATTCCCTGCATATATTAGTATCAATTAACTATTGAAACGAATGAATAAATCACAGAAAGAAAGGACTGGTTTTTCCTACCGGTAAGGTCGAACCCTCGATCTACTAAACGGCAACAGTGCAACTTCCCAATGAGCCGCTCCCGCGGGGATGGATATGTTTTAAGGAGGGACGAATAGGGGGAGGGAGGAGGGGGGAGGGGACAAACGCAGAAAACCCATACTTTTTTAGGCATGTAGCCCTCTCTATGATGAAATGTGATCCGAATACCTCCTTTAAGCATTTTAGGAGCAGTTTCAATTTTTTAAGCAGTTTCAATTTTTTCAGGATTTTCTTGAGTGACTATCTATTTTGCAGGTAATCGAAGGTATGGATCGAGCAATGACGGGAATGTGTGAAGGTGAAAGAAGAAAAGTTGTTATTCCGTGGAAATTAGGTAATTTTGGTCATGTCTCAGCATTGATTTGATAATATAAGTTTAGAAGAAAGAAGAAAAACTAGGCAGTAAGGCAGTGGATTTCTCACTTTGATAATAAATGTGAACTGATCAATGGGCGATGCAGCAAAAGCCAAAACAAGTGAAAATATGA